CCCGGCCGCCGACCGAACAGCCAGCCGAAGCCGCGACTCGGACCGAAGGGGCCCCAGGCTCCGGCCGCGCAGCGAAGTCGGCCGGGCACTGTCGCAGGATCTTTCGCTTGGCATCGCTCGGACGTGAGCACTTTTCCTTCGGCGAGGACAATCGAGGAGCATCCTGGATCATTTGGCGAAACAGCCACGCACGAAGCCGCAAAAAAAACACAGGGAGTGGACGTCCGAGCGATGGCGAGTTCGACACCCGCCAGGACGTCTTCCGTGCAGGCAGCGACCGATCGGGGGGAAGTGTTCGTCCTCCTCTTTCCCTTCCTTACCTTCCCTCTGCTCTTCCGCTCGGAGTACCTGCTGGCCCGGGGTGGCTGTCTGCACCCCTGCACGCCCCCCGCCTTCGAGGTGCGCCCCCCGGCGCGCGCGACCAGACCCTGAGGTCCTGGCGCTGCAGGGTTTTTGCGCAACGGGCATCTCCGCCCTGCTTCGGGCCCCAGGTTCGCTCCGAGATCGAGCCGGCTCGATGATGCAGAAAGAGGGGGCGTCTGGGCCTCTGGTCGTGATTCATGGCGATGCTGCCATGTTCCGGAATCTGCACGGGAGCGCGGGGGGGACGACGATCGGAGACGAGGGAAGGCCGAGGGCGGAGGGCGGAGGTGGAGGAGGGAGGAGGGAGGTGGTGTACTCCTGCTGGGCTCCTAGTGTGCTCCTCGCGCGCTCCTGATTACTGCATTCCTGATGTACTGCCACTGTGACGTCGGACCTCCCGGGGGCCCCCGCCCCCTGTGCTCGGCGCTGCCCGCTGCGCCCCTCCTCGACGGCAACGGGCGCCCCCCCTCCCCTCCGCCCCCCCGGGCAGCCCCTGGGCCGCGCGCGCGGGGCCACCGAAAGGTGCCGCTGCCGCTGCTCCCGGGACCTCTCGGGCCGGACGAAATCGGGAGCCTGGAGACGGGGGTCAATGAAAACGGGGGTCAGTCAGAGCGCCAGATCTTGCAGGATCCTGCAGGGCCAGGGTCGCATTGACCCGGGTTTGAGCGCAGGATCTTGCAGGATTTTGTTGGATCCTTCGCATTGACCCGGGTTTGGGTGCAGGATTTTGCAGGATTTTGCAAGGCCTGAGTGACCCAGGTCTGGATTGACCCGGGTCAGGAGATCCCCGACGAAAGGGGGGGATTGGGAAAGGGGGGTTGCGAAATTCGCTGCGTGCAGCTGGTTCCGGCCCCACCGAGGGGCCCATCCCTCGATACATAGGGCGCCTCCCGGAGCCGGGAGGCGCCGGGAAAATCAGCTATACGTGGGCTGGTTCTCAAACCCCCCTTGTGCTGATCCCCCCCTTTCGCCCGGCCCGGACCTCCCTTGCTGGGGGGCGTTCTGTCGGGCGGGTGGTAATGCTCAGTCGGGCCTGTCCCTCTACAGGGGGAAAATTTGCAAATAGTGAAAAAATAATCTGGGGACGTCTTTTTGACCATCTGGAAGGGCTTCGCCCTCTGCCGCCAGCCCCCTCCTCTCGGATAATGGGTTGTGCAAGAGCTAAATCATGAGGCCTCGGCGCCGCCGTGAAGCAGCATCGGCAAGAGAAATTTGGATTCTGATGATATTTTTTAATTCAGTGTTGCATTTTGAACCTGCCCTCGTATGCTGTGCACCGAGGTTTCCCACAGAATTTCGGGCATGTGGCAAATCTCATTGGTTTTTCGACCCTGACCCCACCGATCTGCGTGAGGGGTGCCACCGAATTTCAGAAATGTGGCACATCTCATGTGTTTTTGGACCCTGACTCCGCCGATCTGCGCGAGGGGTGCCGCCGAATCTTTGAAATGTGTCACATCTCATTTGTTTTTCGACCCAGACTCCGCCGATCTGCGTGAGGGGTGCCGCCGAAATACGGAATGTGGCAACTCCCATTAGTTTTTTGATTCTGACCCCGCCGATCTGCGTGAGGGGTGCCGCCGAATTATTAGACATGTGGCAAACCTCATTGGTTGTTCGACTCTGACCTCGCCGATCTGCGTGAGGGGTGCCGCCGAATTTCAGAAATGTAGCAAATCCCATTTGTTTTTCGACCCTGACCCCACCGATCTGCGTGAGGGGTGCCGCCGAATTTCAGAAATGTGGCAAATCCCATTTGTTTTTCGACCTTGACCCCGCCGATCTGCGTGAGGTGTGCCACCGAATTTCAGAAACGTGGCAAATCCCATTGGTTGTTCGACTCTGCCCTCGCCGATCTGCGCGAGGGGTGCCGCCGAATTTCAGAAATGTGGCAAATACCATGTGTTTTTTTCGACCCTGACCCCGCCGATCTGCGTGAGGGGTGCCGCCGAATTTCGGAAATGTGGCAACTCTTGTGTGTTTTTGGGCCCTGACCCCGCCAGTCTGCGCGATGGATGTTGAGTCAATGTCGACCCCAGAAATTCTGAGACCCATCCAGGGAGGTGCTGACCAGGGCGGTTTTCGGCTCCCCCCCATCGGGCGGTCTACAACAAGGAACAGTAAGCAACAAGAAGCATAACTGTAACAGTGGAAACTGGAGATTGGAACTGGCGCAGGGAACAGCAAACCCTCGTCCTACAGCCTGGTGGCCCCACAAGGGGGCCGGCGGATTTTTGATTTTTGTTTGAGTATCTGTTTATCATTGCGAAGGCCTTACGGCCGGTGCCGCCGACCCTGAATGACGACGACGACGACGACGAGCGCTCTCGGGGTCCTCTTGGGGGTAGATTGGGGGCCTCTTGGGAAGCTCTTGGGAGCCGCTTGGGAGCCTCGTGGGGGCCTCTTGGGGCTTCCTGGGAATCTCTTGGGGGCCTCTTGGGGCCTCTTTGGGGGCTTCTTAGTTGCCTCTGGGGGCTTCCTGAGAGCTTCTCAGGCTGAGGGATCGAAATGTCCATCCGGTTCCTCCGTCTGGGCTCCCTCTTGGAGCCGTCTTGGGGGCCTCCTCGGCTGTCTTGGAGGCCTCTTGGGCGGTCTTGGGGCCCTCTTGGGTCGTTGTGGAGCTCTCTTGGAGGCCTCTTGAGCCGTCTTGGGGCGGTCTTGGAGGCCTCTTGGCCTGTCTTGGAGCGTCGGGAAGCTGACAAGGCGAGAATGCTGAAATGTTTCAAAAACCTATGGGAAATCTACGTTTTTTGCCCCTTGGGGCCGTCTTGGAAGTCCTCTTGGGGCGTTTTGGAAACCTTTGGAGCCGTCTGGTAGTAACTTTGACGACTTGGACCGATACTTCGGCGATTCGGGGCACTCGAAGACCGTCTTGGGACATCTTGGGGCACTTTTGCCGTGTCTTGGGGCTTTTCTGGGCCCCCGAACCGCCCGGGGGGGTGTCGCATCTGCCCCGGGACCCCCTGAGGGGGCTGGGACCCCACTCCCGGGACCCCCCCCCCGGCGGGGAAGGGATCAAAGGGAAGGGACTTCCCTTAGACTCAACTACAACGTCGCTCAATTCAAACGGAACAGCCTCTTCCACACGCCGACAGGGTCGGCGGATTGTATACTGTTCCTCTAAAATCCACCCGTAGGGGGTACATGCCCGACCTGATGGTACTGCGGGCAGGCCCAGATGGGGGGGGGTGACGAGAAGGGCCCTAGAGGGGCCTCAGGGCACTAGCTGGCTCCGAAAGGGGCCCTGACGGGCCCCTTTAGGGCCTCTGCTCTGCATCGCCCAGGACCGCCCGCCCGATGGGGGGGCGTTCTTGCCAAGACTCCGAGGCGGATCCGGCGGGGGCGGCGGAGCCAGAGATCCGAGGATGCGATGTCCTCGAGCCGGCGACTTCGCCTGGATGTCGGCCTCCGGGGTCCCCGCGTCTCGGGCCCACAGGGGCCATCCGAAAGGTTCTCCGGGACGAGCACACACACAACACACACACAACACACAACACACACCACACACACACACACAACACACACAACACACACAACACACACAACACACACAACACACACAGCACACACACACACAACACACAACACACAACACACACACACAACACACAACACACACACACAACACACACAGCACACACACACAACACACAACACACAACACACACACACACAACACACAACACACACACACACGGGGAAGTGCTCGGGACCTCTGCGGCCGCGCCTCGAAAGCATCATGTCGGCGGACGTCTGGGAAGGCCTCCCAGTCCAGAGCTCCGAGGCATCGGGGCTGGGGGCAGTCAGGGGTAACTCAGGAGGGGGAAACAAATAGCACAGACATAATTATTCAGCGACTCTCAGGAGAACACGGGGAAATATCCGAAGTGGGGGGGAAGACGAAACTCCAGAACATATGGAAAAGTACACGGAAATCTTGGATTAGTGTGTATTTGTGTGTCCCTGGGCCCCTTCCGTAACTGCAGATACGCGCCGCGGGGCCAAACCGGAGTTACCCCAGACCGCAGTTCTCTCCGGGCAACTCGGGTGTCCAGCCTTGCCGAGTCATCAAGGCTGGGGGCGGTCAGGGCTAGCAACAGGTTCGCGCCCTGGGGGCCTGGACCGGAGCTACCCCGGACCGCAGTTGTCCCGGACAGTTCGGGCGCCCACCCAGGGCCAGGAGTCTGGACGCCCGAAATCGGTAATTACGGAAAGAATGGGTACAATGCCCAACAGCAGTTCCTGTTCATTTTGAACCGGATTCGCTGTCCACGCCGCCGCGGCCTGTGTCCATTCGGGACAGATGGCCGCCTGCACAGCAGCGGCCGCTGTTGATTTGGGACAACATCTGTGGGGCATTGTGCCCATCCTTTCCGTACCCATGTCGGGCGTCCAAGAGGAGGCCCAACATCGGGGGCGGACAGAACCCCCAACAGTGACACGTCGATTAGTGAATTGTCCGTTTTCGGCTCTCGAGAGGGCGCCGCGGCCGTGATTTGCCAGGCTTGCGCCCGCCAGGTTTGGGCCTCAGATCGTTTTCACTAAACCACGTTTTACTAAAGGGGGGTCTGTCCATCCCCGACAACAGGGCCCGACAGCGAGGCGAGGGCATCGGGAGCGGTACCTTTCCCTCCGAGCGCGTCCCCCCCCCCCTCGCGCAGGCGGGGGGGGGGGCCGGGCATGCCCCGGCGCCCGGATGCTCTCGGCGGCCAAGAGCGCGGCCTGGTCCGCGGGCGGCGCCAGGCCTCCCGAGGCCCGCCCTCGTCCTCCTCCTCGTCTCGTCCTCCCCTCCTCGTCCTCCTCCTCCTCCTCCTCCTCTTCCTTCTCCATATCCTCCTTCTCGTCCTCCTCGTCCTCCTCCTCCTCGTCCTCCTCCTCCTCCTCCTCCTCCTCCGCCCCTGGAGGGACGCCTCGGCGCGAGGGCGGCGTGTCGGGGCCCAAGGGGAACTGAAGTCCGCCGAGTCGTGGCCTTTGTGGCGCTGCGCTGCGCTGGGAGAGGCCGTGCCCCGCGGTCCTTGTGCGCGCTCCTGGGGTTGGTCCCCGGGGTGGGGCGGTCTTGGTCCGCGGGGTTCGGTCCTTCTCCGCCGTGCGGTCCCACTGCAGGCGCCGCCCGATTGCACCCGGCCGGGTTCAGAGGGTGTGGGGCCGGGGTCGCTCCGACCTGCTGCGCAGGCGGGGGAGGCCCTGTCAGAGGCCATTAACATATGTACACGTACGCGGTTAGCTTCCCCTGGAGTGCGGTGTCAACGCGGACGTTCGTGCAGGCAAGACCGCGGAGGGCGTACATGTACATATGTCGTTGCTCGCCCAGCTCTAGGGTACGGGCCACCTGCCTACGGGCCAGGTGGTTCGGATCCCCGCTGAGCCTCGCACCGCGATCCCCGCGCGGTGGCCGAGGGGGGGGCCAGGATCTCCGACCTCACAGAGGCGGGAGGCTTGGGGCGCCGCCCCAGAAATCCTTCGCTCCAGCTCCCCTCTCCGCTTCTCTCTCCCCGCGTCGCGAAACTCCGACGTTCGAGCTTCGAGGTTCGAAGTTCTTGCACGCTCTTCTCGCGCTTCGAGGTTCGAAGCTTCGAACTCCGAGGTTCGTTCGTGCCTTCTCTCCTCCCCCTCCTCCTCGTCCTCCTCCTCCTCCTCCTCCTCCTCCTCCTCCTCCTCCATCGCCAGTTGCTGCACGGTGGAGTCCCCTTCCCATCAGTTGGGAAGCTGCCCCTTTTCAGGTAACAGACCCTAGATGTGGCCAAGACCCCTCTTCGTTTCTCCCTTCCCCCTCCCTCGGCACCCTCTGGGGGGCCGAGGATTGAGGAGCGAGCTTGGACGGCTTTCTGCATCGTTTGGCCTCCCGGAGCGCCCTCGTCGCCACGGTGGGACTCGTCTCGACAGTGCTGCGGAGTGCCAGGATCGGTCAAGGGCTCGAGTATCGACTCCCAGGCCCAGATGTTTTCTCGCGCTGCGGAGTATTCGCGACCGGACCTTCCCTGGGACACGATGCTGCGACAGCATGCAGCATCGCGACGCATCACGAGCGGAGCCCTTCAGTGCCGTTTTTGATACATGCTCCGCGTGCGGATCATGTGTTAAAATGCAGGCATTGAGTTTAAAAAGCCACGATGAGCTCATGCATAAAATTGTTCATGAATTGATCATATTTTACAACATCCGATTGTTTTTTCATCCATGTATTAAACACTGCCCTGTGTGGACCCCCGTGGCATGTCTCGAGCCGCGTCGACCTCGGATGGCCCAGGGGCCCGGCACCGGGCGGCGGCGCCGGGTGCGCAAAAGCATTTATGCGGCGCCTCGCGCCGCAGGCAGTTTTATGTCGGGCGTGTCCTCCAATAAAAAAAAAGCATGCCCCAAAAAGGTCAGAAAATACTCGAAACATAGTCCCTGGACTATTTTTGTCATTATTGTTCGAATTTTTGTTTGTGGGGCATGTTCTATTTGTCGTCGAAGATCCCCCTGTAGGGGGACACGCCCGATTTTAACGTAGTTTGAGGCCCCACACGAGGGCGGCTGCGGGCAAGATAGGCCCGTGCTGCAGCGGATCCGCGAGGAGTTCCAGGCCATGGCGGGCCCGGACGGCGACAGCGTCTCCGTGGAGGACCTCGCGCGGCACTGGGAGAGGCTCGCCGAGGACGAGCAGGACGGCGCCCGCGCTCCGAGCAGCGGGGAGGGGGTCGCCGCCGGCGAGGCGGAGGAGGAGGAGCGGCGGAGATGGATGATGCTGGGGTTATGTCGGGCGCGTCCCCCTACAGGGGGGTTTTCGACGACAAAATAAAAGAAAGACACCAAGAATGCACCAAAAAGGTCAAACAGATACTCAAACAATAGTCCCCAGACTATTTTTGGATGATTTTTTGATTATGTTTGGGGTATTGTTATGTTTCGTCGAAAATCCCCCTGTAGGGGGACAGGCCCGACTTAATGCTGGGGAGAAGGTAGTTCATTCTAGGCCTGCCAGACCTGAGCTGGCCCTGGAAACGACAAGGCCGTTGTCGTGGATGGTCGGAGGACAAGGTTTCGGAAGTTTTTTTGGTGTTTTCGTGTGTTCTTGGAGGGCTTCCAGCCTCAGAGTGCTCTCCAGCATCTGCGCCTCGTCGGGAGCGTTCCGGGGTTGCCAGGATTGCCCCGGACGGCCACCCGAGGCTCGAGTTATGCCCCACAAGCCACTCCAGACCATCTTCGCTGCGGCCTGGGTGCTGGTGACGCCTGAACCTGGCTCAATTGGACGTGGTGTGGTCTCCCCAGACCCCCGACGTCGTGATTTTTTCACAACGTCGACCCCCAGAGGTCTGAAAGAGCTTGTTCTACCGCTGCTGGCTGAAAACCGGGGGGGGGTCACTACCGGTTCGACCCGCCCCCCCCTGCCCCCCCCCTCTGGAAAACCGGGGGGGGGGTCACTACCGGTTCGAACCCCCCCTCCCGTCCATCATGAAAAGGGGGGGGGGGGGTACTACCAGTTCGAACCCCCCACCCCCCTCGAAAAACGGGGGGGGGGCACTACCGATTCGAACCCCCCCCCCTCGAAAACCGAAAACCAGGGGGGGGTTGCGGACAGTGGTGGGGACGGTGGTGGGGACGGTGGTGGTGGGGACGGTGGTGAGGGGACAGCGGGACAGTGGTGGGAACAGTGGGACAGTGGTAGGGACGGTAGTGGTGGGGACAGTGGTGAAGGCGGTGGTGAGGACAGTGGTGGGACAGTAGCACAGTGGGGAAAGTGGTGGGGACAGTGGGGACAGTGGGACAGTGATGGGGACAGTGGGGACGCTGGGACAGCACAGTGGGACAGTGGCGGGTACAGTGGGACAGTAGTGGGTACAGTGGGACAGTGGGACAGTGGTGGGGACCGTGCACGGGGAAAGTGGGGAGAGTAGGACCGTGGTGGGACAATGGTGGGGAGAGTGGGGACATTGACACACTGGTGGGGGCACTGGTGGGGACAGCGGGGACAATGGTGGGAACAGTGGGGACAGTGGGACTGTGGTGGGGACGGTGGTGGTGGGGACAGTGGTGTGGGGACAGTGGGAATGTGGTGGAAACAGTGGGACAGTGGAGGGTACAGTGGTGGTGGGGACAGTGGTGAGGGCGGTGGCGAGGACGGCGGTGGGACAATGGGACAGAGGTATAGTGGGGACAGTGGTGGGGACAGTGGGGACAGTGGTGGGAACAATGGGACAGCTCAGTGGGACAGCGGAGGAGACAGTGGGACAGCGGGGACAGTGGGGACAGTCGGGCAGTGGTTGGGGCCGTGGGGAAAGTGGGGAGAGTGGAACCGTGGCGGGAACAGTGGTGGGGACTGTGGGGACAGTGCGACAGTGGTGGGGTGGGGGCACTGGTGGGGACAGTAGGGACGGTGGTGGAACCAGTAGGGACAATGATGGTGAGGACAGTAGTGCTGGGAACAGCAGTGGGGGATGTGGTGCGGACGGTGGTAGAGACCAACCGGTAACCCCCCCTGGTTTTCGAGGGGGGGGGGGGCTTGAACCGGTAGTGACACCCCCCGGTTTTCAAGGAGGGGGGGGGGGTTCGAACCGGTAGCCCCCCGGTTTTCTCCAGGGGGGGGGGGGTTCAAACCGGTAGTGATCTTCCCTTGGTTTTCTGGGGGGCGGGAGGGGGAGGGGTTCGAACCGGTAGTGACGCCCCTCGGTTTTTAGTGACCCCCCGCCGGTTTTCTGGAGGGGAGGGGGGGAGGGGGGGGTTAGGGGAGGGGGGGGGGTTTGCCAGGGGAAAGGGGGGGGGGAGGGGGTTCTAGCAAGGGGGAGGGATTTTCGGAGGGGGGGGGGGGAACCCGGGGTTCCGGAGGAAGAGGGGGGGGGGGAATTTTCCACAGTAAAGCGGCGGTGGATCACGCTCTCTCCTGGACCCCTTCCTCGGGACGGGCTTTTCATCCTGAGTTATCTTTTGACGGTCCCGGGGCCTGGGGAGGGCCCCCAGAGGCCGAAAATTGAGGAAAAATTGCCGTCGGGGTCTCGGGGGGGGACAGCCTCGCAACGGTCCAAAACGTCCCAAAAGGAGGCGCCAAGACGGCCGCCGCCGCGCCACTTGTCCACGAGCCTCATGCCATGAGCTTAGGGAGGAGGATCGAGGTGGCGCGGCGGCGGACGTTGGTCACAGCAGTTCAGAGAGTGACGCACGCACAGAGAGCGTTGCAACAAAAATAACGGGGCCGTCTTCACCGACGTTCGCGCGCAAGCTGCCCGCGAAAGTCTAGGCCTCCCAGATGGGGTCCGAGCAGATGGGGTCGAATGATCGCGCCGAGTCGTCGATGCATCGGCGACGCGGCTCGATGTGGAGCCCGATTTTCTCCACGCTGGCGTCGCCGATGCTCGGGGGTGGACAGACTCCTACCCTGACGCGTCGATTAGTGAATTGCCCGTTTTCGGTTCTCGAGAGGGCGCCGCGGCCGTTCCTTCCCAGGCTTGCGCCCGCCAGGTTTGGGCCCGACGCTGTTTTCACTAAGCCACGGTTTATTAAAGGGAGGTCTGTCCATTCCCGAGATGCATCGCCAGCGTGCGTCGCCGATGCCTCGCCAGTGCATCGCCGATGCCTCGGCGAGGCATCGCCGCTGTGCCGGCGATGGGGCCGCGCGCGAGCGCCCTCGCTGCAAATGCGGCGTGCCGCGCCGTCGGACTGCGTCTACGCCGCGGCGTATAAGGTCGCCATGCCACCTCGCGTGCGACCCGTTCTTGATCGTCGCTCGCGGGAGCCGCTGGTGGAGTGTTCGCGGTGAAGAACTCGGCATCGCTCGGACGTGTGCATTTTTCCTTCGGCGAGGACCATCGAGGAGCATCCTTGATCATTTGGCGAAACAGCCACGCACGAAACCGAACATTGCACTGGAATGGGACGTCCGAGCGATGGCAAGAGATGGAAGGCCCCAAGCTGGCCCAACAGGTCCCCAAAGCGCTCCAAGAAGACTTCGAGGGAGCTCCAGCGGGGTCCACCTATAAGAGGCACAAGTCGTTGGCAGCCAGCACTTCCGAGAGGAGTTGCAGCATTCTCGATCGTTCGGGCTTCCAGCGCTCCCGCGAGGGCTCGAGGGGCCCCCGAGGGCCGATGGGGCCGGGAGCGATGGCTCGAGAGGCACCCTGAGGGGCCGGGGAAAGACGGGGAGGACCATAGGCGACGGCCAGGGCTTGTCCAGCCTGTTACGACGCGAGGTCAGAGCCCCGAATCATCAGGGGTAACTCGGGTCAGGGATAACTCGGGTTCGTTTTTCGGGAATCCAAGCCCGAGTTACCCGGGACCCGAGTTACCCCGGATAACTCGGGCGTCCAGAGCCCCGAATCATCAGGGGTAACTCGGGTCAGGGATAACTCGGGTTCCTTTTTCGGGAATCCAAACCCGACTTACCCCGGACCCGAGTTACCCCGGATAATTCGGGCGCCCAACGAGGGTGTCAGGGAATGCCGACGACGGTGCCGGTGATACGGCTAGGACTCCTCCTATCGAAGATCTGGTCTCTTCGTTCAAGCAGTGGCGAAGCGCCCTGGTTTGCCGATGGGCTCACAGACCCATTTTCTGAGAACATTCCGTTGTTTGAACGAAATGTCTTTATTATGTCGTATGGAAAGCAATTCCGGGGAGAGTTATCTGGGGGGGGGTCCGGGGGGAGTTGTCCGGTTCCTCGCGGGGTTGTCCAAGGGGTTGTCAGGGCCGTACCGGTTTGCCAGCGCACGCACATGCCTTAATCATCCATCTCATCAGAAGCATGGCGCAGCCAGTCAAACCCAGCTGCAATGGGCGCCCTTCTCCTCCTTCCCCTCTTGTTCGTTCCTTTCTCGCGTCCTCCCGCTCCCGTTCGCACATCCTCATTGATCGTTGTTCCCCACAGAGCGTGGCTGGCCAGAGTTTTGTAGTTCGTTGTAGAAGCTAGTTCCAGCCGCGGGACCAGCGCACAGAGTCATGCTCAAAATGCGGAGGTTGTCCTGCCACTTTCGCTTGAGACATCCTCGTAACGCTGAGATCACGCATGCCCAGATCTGAGGTGTTCGGTGTTCCGGCCGGTTTCGCCTGCGATATCTTTGTAAGTCTGGGCTCGGAGATGCCGCCCACGAGGTGGTCCGTTCTGGCAATCTTGGTCTCAGAGATGCACTGACCTCAAGTGGCCCGAGATAAGAGAGCCACCGGCGACCCTCAATACAAGGACAAGGCCTTCCCTCCGCACGTCAGATTCTCGAGGGGATTGCCCGGTGGGTTGTCAACCGTGTTGTCTGGGGGTTTGCCTGGGGGTTGTCTCGGCGCAATCCTACCCAAGCCCACTTTTGGGCATCCGCATCCTTCCGCCTTCAGCCTTCTCTTCATTCCTCAGCGTCCGGCCACTCTCCCCTGCGACATCCTCGCAGCTCCGAGCTCGGGGTTGGCATGCCCTGACCTGAGGTTGGCCTGTCAGTTTCGCCTGAGACATCCTCGAAGTTATAGCTTCTGAGCTGCTGCGCGCGAGGTTGTCCAGCCAGTCTTGCCTGAGACAGCCTCGCAACTCTGTGCACAAAGATGCCCTGACCCAAGGATGAGCAATCACAGTACTCCCGCGGAATCGGGGGGAAGGTGGCGAATGGTGCTGTCGTTGGAGCGCTGGCCATATCCCTGAACGGGAGTGGTGCTGTCGCCTGAGCGGTGACTACACTCTCGATTGGGGAAGTGAGCCGTCGCCCGAGCACTGCATGATGCTCTCGCCGGAGCGCCAGCCACATCCCTGATTGAAAAAGGTACTCTCTCCAGGGCGCCAGCCACGTCCCTGGTAGGGAACGGCGTTCTCACTCAAGCGTTGGCCACACCTACATGCTAGGGCACTTGTGTTCTCCATCTCGGAGGGGCTGTCCGGTTGTCTGTGGAGTTGTTTGGGAATGTGTCTTTGATTTGTCTTTCCGTACAACATAGTAGATCATCGATGGCTGAGACTGTCTCTTTTTGATGCCTGGGTCTCATGTTCCAAGAACATGGATGCAGTTCTTAGAACACCTTTTTGTTCTAATAACTTTTCGTGGTAGGTCTACAGGAATGCCGGGGCGGTCGGTCCTTGCTCAATTCGTTCACGGTTGAGGCTCTGATCTCAGAAGAAGCAGTTCTCGCAGGTCATGGTGTCATCTGCTTTTTGCCGTCCATGATTTTGATTTCTGTTCCGCGGCAGGAAGAATCGTCCCGGATCCTCTGTAGATTCGGGGGAGCGTAAGACCCGGGTTTGCCAGGACTCGGGTTCGCCATCGTTTTTTGACGACCGCGCCTCGGATTTTGACGAGGAGGAGTTTCGTGGGATGTCTGCAGCGGGAGGCCTCGTCAAAATGCAGGCTCGGCCTCGTCATTTTTTTGACGACCTCGTCGGGGATTCCCGAGTCCCCCGTACCCGGGTCTTACGTCTCCCCGATAGATGGTCCACGGGCCCCGGAAACGGCCTCCGAGGGCCGAAACCGACGAAGACACGCTGGTTGCCAGAGGGCCACGCGACCGGAAGCGCCGCGGACGACCGACGGCGGCGCACGACCACGAGCGACGGCAGCGGCGGCGGCGCCAGAAGTGCCCGGCCAGCTCGGCCGGTGACGAGCAACGGGGAAGAGGAGGACCAGGAGGAGGAGGAGGAGGAGGAGGAGGAGGAGGAGGAGGAGGAGGAGGAGCAGTGTAAACCTTAGAGACATCAGCGATGTTGGAATAAGCTCTCCCTCCAAGCTCCCTCTTCATAGGCCCCCTTACAGCGGCTCACTTGCATTGAGGGAACTGCCTCGCTGGAAGACAGCCGTTTGAAGACCCTGCAGGATGCTAAAACATTGTTCTCGGGATTCCAACGCCACGGATCAACCTGACTGTTGCGTGTTGACGATCCAGTATCGTACCAGAGCGCCATTCCTGGGACTTCAACACGGCGAATCAACGTAACGACTGCGCCCACGTAGCCCTGAATCTTTTCAAAACACCACATTTCTGGTACGTTGATGATGGGAATCCGTCCGTGACAATCTTGCAATGTTTGAAACGAATGTGCGCCGCGATCGGGCGAGAGCCACATTTTGAAAAGGAACCGCCCTCAATCCGTGAAACGCTTGCAAGTGTTTTAAACGAGTGTGCGCCGGCTAAGGCGAGAGCCGCATTTTCAAAAGGAACCGCTTTCAATCCGGGAAACCCTTGCACATTTTGTTAAACGAATGTGCGCCGCGCTCAGGCGAGAGCCATATTTTGAAAAGGAGCCGTCCTCAATCCGTGAAGCTGTTGCACATGTTTTAAACGAATGTGCGCGGCGCTAAGGCGAGAGCCACATTTTGTAACGGGATCGCTCACATTCCGTGAAACCCTTGCACCTTTTTGAAAACGAATGTGCGCCGCGCTCAGGCGAGAGCCACATTTTTAGAAGGAGCCGCCCTCAATCAGTGAAGCTCTTACATACTTTTTGAACGAAAATGCGCCGCGCTACAGCGAGAGCCACATTTTGCAAACGACCCGCCCTCAACCCGTGAAGCTCTTGCAAACTTTTAAAACGAATGTGCGCGGCGCTAAAGCGAGAGCCACATGTTAAAAAGCACCCACCCTCCATCAGTGAAACTGTTGTCATTTGTTCAGCTTCAGAGTCATACATGGTGAGGAGGTCTCAAGCGAAACGCCAGGCCCGCTTTAAGAACTTGCCTCGGGGTGCGCCAGGGAGAAATTCTTTCTAAGGAAAAGGAATGGAGCAGGGCAGAGCGCTGCGGGTGGGGGGGCATCGATCGGTTGCGCCTGGCCCAGAACCCAGGGACGCCAGAATCGATAGTCGAGGAGGAGGAGATGGAGCACGACGACGACGACGACGACTACCACGACGACGACGAAGACGACGACGACGACTTCGACGACGACAACGACGACGACGACGAGCGACGACGACGAAGACGACGACTAAGACGACGACGTCGACGTCGACGACGACGACGACGGCGAGGACGACGATCGACGAGCGACGAGCGACGACGAGCTACGACGACGACGACGAGCAACGACGAGCCACGCCAAGCAGAGGCAACGGCGTCGTCCGGTGGGTGAGGTCCGCGCCAGCCCTCCCCCCCCGCGCACAGCGCAAGCGCGGCCTCCACCGCCTCGGCGCCCCGGAGAAGCGGGCGGTCGCGCTGCGTGTTGTCAAGGCGCCGGGGGAGGAACTCCCACACGCTTGGGGCCTTCGATAAGGAACCCGTGGATCAGAAGCCCACTTAGCTGCCTCGATACGCCCGTTTTGACACGCAACGCGTGCCGTGTTCAAGACGTCCGTGCCAATGCGTTGCGTGTTGGCGCCACGTATTGGCCCACATTTCGGCGAACGTATCGCGTCGGACCTACGTTTTCGGCCACGTGTTGAGCTCCGTTTTAATACGCTACGTGTCGCGCATTGCGTATCGGGGCAGCTAAGGACGCCCAGGGTCTCAGGCTTTTGGAACACCTGGGGCTTGGGCACGAATAGCACCGCCGCCCGGAGCAGACAGGGAATGCCTCGTGGTCCGAAGACTCCTGGGCACCTTCCTGGACGATCGCCCCCGCCGTGTCGCAGGCCCAGAGGTCAGCACCAACACCAGTATCGGCGGTTGCCTCCACACGAGACCCATGTTGCTTCGCACAACGCGACGCGCCATCGAAAACGCTCGACGCGCGGCCTCGGAACGACATCGGGCTTCATGGAGCGTCGAATGGAGAACATGAAAAACCGCCCTGTGGGCTCCGAGACCCAAAAGTTACTGATGGGAAGGATTTCGGCTCGTCGACTCTCGGTGACGGTGGCGAAGGAGGAGGACGGAGCAGGAGGAGGAGGAGGAGGAGGAGGAGGAGGAGGAGGAGGGGGAGGAGGGGGAGGAGGAGGGAGGAGGAGGAGGAGGAGGAGGAGGTGAGGAGGAGGAGGAGGAGGAGGAGGGAGGAGGAAGGAGGAGGAGGAGGGGAGATGGGCCGAATCTCGGTGACGGTGGTCAGACTCGGGCTTCCCGGGTGGCCGAGAGACGGTGGAGGGCAACAGTCAGCAGGCACTCCCCCCGCCCCCTCCTCCTCCTCCTCCTCCTCCTCCTCCTCCTCCCCCTCCTCCCTCCTCCTCCTCCTCCTCCTCCCCCTCCTCCTCCTCCTCTTCCTCCCCCTCCCCCTCCTCCTCTTCCTCCTCCTCCTCCTCCTCCTCCTCCTCCTCCTCCTCCTCCCAAAACTCAGAGTTGGCACGCGCGGGGAAGACTGCGGCCGAAGTGCAGCTCATCCCACCCACCGCCAACGTCGACCAGGGGGGGGGGCATTGACGTACGAATGTGGCGTGAGAGTTCGCTAATTTCTTCCGAGGCCTGGATTACCACCAGCACCGAAATCCAGGGCCAGCTTCCCCCGGTGGAGGCACGCCCCTGTGTGCGTTGGTGCGAGTTCCCATGCCCCCCAACACATCCCAGATCTCCGCGGATCTGATTTTGTCACCTGGATGTGTTTGCATACATGTCGGCACGGCATCAAGAATGGGTCTGGTGCGAAGCACAAGAGAATTCAGAAAATGGTAGTACCAGGAAAGCCAGCCTCCTCCGGAGGAAAGACAAAAGCAAGACCACCACCACCCAGACATCCAACGTTGTGATGTTTTTTGCAACCCTCTGGTGTTTGTTTCTCGTTTTGATTCGAAGACTGTGGTCTCTATTTCCCTCCCCCCTCCCCCTCCCCTCTCCTCCTGCCTCCTCGCCTCCCTAGCTCGCGCCTGTCCCAATGGGGGGCTGCGAAATGTGCAACTGTCGCCACTTTCGAGGGCTCCTGGGAGATCCAGCGGAGTAGACTGGCACGCGGACCGACACGGGACCTCGCGGCTCTCTGGGTGGTTGCGAATTGCGTAACAGTCGCCACTTCCGTGGGCTCCTGGGAAGTCCAGCGGAGTGGAGTTATACGCGCACCCAGTCGAGACCTCACCGCTACATCGGGACTGAGAACTGTAGAACTGTCGCCCAGATCACTTCGAGACCTCAGGGCTCCCATCGTGGGCTGCGAACTGCGCAACAGTCGCCACTGTCGTGGGCTCCTGGGAGGCACGGCGGAGGAGAGGGCAGCGCAGATCGCTTTGAGACCTCGCGGCTCCCTCGGGGGCTGCGAACTGCACAACCGTCACCACTTTCGTGAGCTCCTGGGAGGCACGGCGGAGGCGAGGCGCGATGTGTTCGTTCGTATGGAGCGCTGATACAAATAGTCGCTTCGCGTGGAGATGGGGTTGGGTACGTCTCGGATACTTGCAATGTGGCTGCCCAGAGGTCTGGACCTCTTCCCCGGGATCGGCTCGTCATGCGGAGATGTTTTTGTTGGCGGTTCTGGGGGCCCTGTGAGGCCCCCCGGAGGCCGAAGATCGACAAGCACCTTCCACCGAGGTGTTTTTACCATTCGAAGAGAGCGCACCCCCACCTCCTCCTCCTCCTCCTCCTCCTCCTCCTCCTTCTCCTCCTCCTCCTCCTCCTCCTCCTCCTCCTCCTCCTCCTAGTGGGCCGTGCACCTCCAGCGGGAGGCTTCACGTTGCCTCCCCGGAGCCGGAGGTGGGCGGAGGTCTCGAGCGGGGCGCTCCGCAGCGGCAGGGGCGGGCACGGCGTCGGGAGGGCCACCCCTGGCGCCTCGCAATGGTGGCGGCCGCGGAGTCGAAACAGTGGGCGGACAAAATATCGCAAGTTATATGATCGTTCCGAGAAGCAGCGTGTCGAGTTTGATCATCTTCCATCGATCTCCGAGGAGCTCCCCCGTCCCCCGTCTTTCAATGTGGACTTGCATGATGTTGTCCTCCCGGACTTGGGGTGCTCGCTCGATGCCAACATCGACATGCAGGGGGCGGGGGCGTGTCGTCGAGGTGGCGTCGCAATGTGGGCGCAGCCGTGCGCGGCCAGGAACAACTTGCAACATTTCGTGGTCCCACCGAAGTTCAGGAGGGGAAAAAACACACAGACACAATTAATTGTCGATCCCCTAGAAAATATGGGAAAATATGGGAAGCGGTGGGGAAGACAAAAACCCAGAAAATATACGAAAATATAGGGGATATGTTTATTTGTGTGTATTTATTTGTGTGTCCCAGGGCCCCTTCAGAAGTGCCGCCCCCCGAGACCCAGGCTTCCCCAATGGGGGTCCGAGCAGAGGGCGCCGGAGGACCGCACCGCATCGCCGATGCGTCGGCGATGCGGCTCGATGTGGAGCCCGAGTTTCTCTCCCGCCTCCTCCTCCTCCTCCTCCTCCTCCTCCTCCTCCTCTCTTCCTCCTCCTCCTCCTCCTCCTCCTCCTCCTCCTCCTCTTCCTCTCTTCCTCCTCCTCTTCCTCTCTTCCTCCTCCTCCTCCTCCTCCTCCTCATCCTTCTCCTCCTACTGCTCCTCCTCCTCCCTTTCCTCCTCCTCCTCCTCCTCCTCCTCCTTCTCCTCTTTTGGGAATCCGATTTTCTCCTTGGCGACGTGGCGGATGCGCCAAGTAGTCGGCCTCATCGTCTCGGACCCCATTTGGGAGGCCTCTGCAAGACCATTTCGATGCTGATGCCAGGCGACAGCGTCTGAAGCGAAACCCGTCCCCTGTATGTTACAAGTTGTCGCATTTGTTACTGTTTATCCGATCTTGTAGAGCCCAGGACCTATCTTTGGATATGTTTCGATTCGACCTTCGAAGTGGAATCCAGCCCCGACGACAAGAAGCCTCTCAGAGACCTCCTAGAGAGGCCCCAAGATGGACAAGATTGAAAAAGAGCATGCAGGAAACTCGAAACTGGATTTCGGAATTCAACCAGCGTCATGTTTTTCGACAACCTGGCGAACCCCAGGTCCCGGGACCGGCTCTTCGACTGAGCCATTTTTTGACGGCCCCGGGGCCTGGTAACTACGGGCCATTGCAAGCCGAAGTTTGCAAGCACAAATCCCAGTCGGCTCCGTACACGGCACGAGGATGTCCGGAAAAAGCGATGGGCAACGTGGTCCAATGCGGTACAGTGAAGGCCCATGCCAAGAAACACCCTGCTTGCCTCCAGAGTGCCCTGGGTTTCTTGGGTTTCGATGGGTTTGCTACGGAAAGCGCGACGTTCCCACCCTAAAAATCAGTGGACGCCCTTGGGTCTCAGGGTCGGATCTTTTGTGGAAGGTTTCTTGTGGACTGGCCTCCACTGTATCTTGAAACGCCCGTGTTAAAACGCACCACGTGCCGTGTTCAAGACGGAGTCAGTGTCAACACGTTGCGTGTTGGTTCGGTTCATGTTGGTCCACGTTTTGGCGAACGTATCGCGCCAGACCCATGCTTTCGGTCTACGTGTTGATCTCCGCGTCAACTCTACGTTTTGCGTGTTGCTTATCGGGGCAGCTAGGTGCGGCATAGACTTGCACTACTCAAGAGGCCTTCAGAGGCCCCAAGATGGAACAACGCATCCAGAAATCTCGAGCCTTGAGCCTGGAGACCCCGCGAGAGGTCGACGAGGTGGACGATCACGGCGACGACGACGACGATGCCTGAAGCCCGTTCGAAAGCTATGCTTCCCACATGGGATCCGAGTAGATGGGATCGGTGGATCGCGCCGCATCGCCGATGCATCTGACATGCATCTCGATGTGGAGCCCGATTTTCCCCTCGCCGGCGTCGCCGATGCATCCGCGACGCGGCGCGATCCTCCGACCCCGTCTACTCGGACACCCTTTGGCCTCCATCGTCTGGGCTGACCTCGTCGATCCCCGCGAGGCAATCGACGAGGTGGACCTGCAGAACACGGGCTCCATCCGGCTGGAGCACTGGGTGCACCACAGGCTTCTGCAGCATGCTGGCGCCGATCCCCAGCAGGTGCTCCTCGCGGCACTCTCCGTCCGTCTTTTTTGGGCTCTCTTGGTCCTCGGGGGCTGCTGGGGGCCGTCGTGGGGCTGTCTTAGACGTTGGAGCCCGCTGGGGGTTTGAGCTGACCCTGCATTTTGGGGGCCCAAAGAATATACACCACCACCACCACCACGTCGATTCCTCCTCTCTCCTCTTTCCAGCGAGAGGGAGGGGGGGAGGGAGGTGGTGGTGGTGTACATTTGGGGGCCCCCTATGCATCGGTTCCGGCGGGCAGGAGAAGGGGGCTCGAGAAGGTTTTTTGTTTTTTTCTGCCTCCGAGGGCCGCCTTCGGGCCCCGGGACAATCAGAAACGGATCCGGGGTGCAACAGTGCACCAGAGGGACCCCGAGAGGGGGCTGCTGGGGACTGATGTCGAGAGGATTGCGCCTCGTGCCCCCTCTTGTCCGACTTCTCCAGGGCCCATCCAGTTCGGACCACCCAGCCGCCGCCGACTTGGAGGCCTCTTTGGCCGCCTTCGCTCGGTTTTCGGAAGCCCAGGGGGCCGAGAACGCGAAAACTACATGGAAGCACTTCCCTGGAGGAATCCACGAGGCCAGAGTGAGGGTGGCGAAAGGGTCTACGCCATCCTTGCGTGCGCGGGCGAAGTGCCCATCCCATTCCAGACATAGTCTTGTGCCTCAGACGCGCTGTCCACGTCCGGGTCCGCAGGCGCCAACGCCCCGCGCCTTTTCTCAAGCGTCCCGCCCCGCGGAGCTGTTTGACGCGCTGTCCACGTCCGCGTCCCCGGGTGCCAACCTCCCGGGCCTTTTGTCCAAGCTTCCCGGCCCGCGGAGCGGCGCGCGCGGTGCCCGCGCCCCCCGAGCGTGCCAGCGTCCCGGGCCTTCTTCTGCGGGGCGACGCGACACGCAACCTGCGCCCGCGTCCCCAGGTGCCCACGTTTTTTTTTGTCAAGGGCATGAAAAAGCGCCCCTGCCCTGGTTTACGAGGCGCTGTGCGCTGAAACTCCTGTGGGCTGACAGGGTAAACCCTGCGTGATGTGCCGCGTCCTGGCGGCTCTAGGCTTTGGGGGTTCCCAGGACGTTGACAGACCACGCACTTGTAACCCAAGGTAGGGTCGTTTTTTCATCCCTCAATTTTGAGGGCACATCCCCCACGTTGTCGTCGCATTGGGCCTGTCGCTCTTGGGGAGAGAGACAGACAGGCTCGGGGCCGGTGCGTGGTGCCCTCCTCCCCCTCCCCTCCTCCCCCCCCGCCGTGCCGCCTCAGGAGGGGGTGGCAGTGCGAGGGGGCGGAGGGCTCCTCCCCTCCTGTCTCTTGCCTCTCCCTCCCTTCCTCTCCGCTTCCTCCTCCTCGCTCCTCTGCCCCCTTTCACCCTCTTATTTTTGTCCGAAGAAGAACGAGCGCCGTAAACACAAACTTGTGGCGCTCCGCGCGGATTTCTCGGATCCGCGCTGGGCTACCCCGGCGGCGCCTCCGGCGCTGCCCCTGGCGCGCTTCGCGCGCCAGGGTGGGTATGGCGTTTCTTATTTTTCTTATTATTATTTTTATTTTTCTTCTTCCTATTCTTCTATTTGTGGCTTGTGTTTGAGATTTATCTGTGGGGGCCCCAACAAGGTTCGACACCTGAGCGGCGCGGAGAACGAGTCCAATTCTGCCGACATTCGCGCGTGATTGGGTTGCCCGCGCAGTGCCGTGCGTTAGCGCCCTCGCTTCCAACGTGGCGTGCCACGCTGGCCGGCCGCGCAAGCCGCCGCATGAGGTCGTCACGTCTGCTTGCGTAAGACCCGCTTCTTTTCGTCGCGCACTTGAGCTTGAACTTGTTTCAGGGTTTGGCTCACCCGCCGGTCGTTGAAGGTATGTATTTCTGGACTCCAGGTCCTATTCTACTCTTGGCGCCTTCCTATTTCAAGGATCGAAGGGTTTCCTTCTCCCCTCATCTCCAGGGGGCGGGCGGAGGCCCAAGCTACTTCCAACGCCTTCCTACTTCCTGTTTCTACCCACTTCTTCTGACCGGCGTGTAGTGATGCAGAAAGTTCGGAGGTTGATAGACCTCCTACCCTGACATGTCGATTAAGGAATCGGCCGTTTTCGGTTCGCGAGAGGGCGTCGCGGCCGTCATTTTTGCGGGTCCAGGTCCGTCGGTTTCGGTCCCAGGCCGTTTTCACTAAGGGGAGGTCTACTGAAGGGAGGTTTGTCCACCGCCGAAAAGTGCACCCCCCCTTCTTTTTCGTTTCCCCACTCGCCAGAAGCCTGAGGCAACACGCTCGGCCCCCCCGCTGTTCAGGTGAACGTGCCGCTGCGGCGGGCGCTGCTCCTGAACGCGCGCCTCCTCGTGGAGCTTCAGGAGATGTTCCAGCAAGCCAACGTATGCAGAGAGCAAGAGCACTGCACAGCCATGCCCTGACACCCCCAAATCTCTAACAATTTTCACCAACGTCCTGAGTGGCTGAGTGGGGCTCTTGTTTCACTCATCGCACGTCGCTTTTGGTTTACTCTGGACATCATCGCGCAGGAACACCCCACACCCATCTGCCCCTCATCACAATCACACCATCATCAGCCTCATACCATCGCCATCATCATCATCATCATCATCATCATCATCATCATCATCATCATCAACATCATCATCATCATCATCACCATCACCATCCGCCTCATCATCATCATCATCATCATCATCATCATCATTATCATCATCAGTATCATCATCACCATCACCATTACCAGACTCGGCGTCGTCGTCATCATCGCACTCACCCTCACCACCATCGATCATTCACTATCACACCATCAGCATCGCACATTCACGCTGTCACTCATGCACACTCACTCCATCGTCAGCATCACCATCATCATCTTCATCACGTACGCACTCACGCACTCAAGAATATTCTGATTCACATGTCCGCACTCACATATTCATCTGTGGGAAGTCTCCGACAGGAGCCTCATGTATGAGTGAGTTGTGAGGAAGTCCTAGGCGGGGGCCACTCCCAATGAGGCCGCAAGATCATGTTAGTCATCCGAGCGGGTCATCCAGACTTTGTAGCTGTCGTCAGTTTGGGGCTCCTGTGGCGTGGATTTGGAAGAAGTCTCGAACGGGAGCCTCGTTTGTGAGTACATCGTGGGGAAGTCGCAGGCGGCAGCTACCTCCCTATGCGGCCGCCAGATCAAAGTCGAGCGGGTCATCTCGATCCTGTAACTGTGGTCTTTTTGAGGCTCCTGAGGCGTGAATCTGGAGGAAGTCGAGCGGGAGCATTGTGTGTTGAGTGCATCGTGAGGAAAGTTCAGGCGGGAACCCCCTCCCTGCTGGGCCGCCAGATCACGTGAGCAATCCAACCGTATCATTCAGATCGTATACTTTTCGTCCGATTTGGGCTTTTGCGGCGTGGATCTGGAGGACGTGTCGAGCGGGAGCTTCGTCTGTGAGTTAATTGCGAGGAAGTCTCTGGCGGGAGCCCCCTCCCTATGGGGCCGCCAGACCATGTTATGAATCCGAGGCGGCCATCCAGATCTTGTATCTATCGTAATAGTTGGGGCTCCTGAGGCGTGGATCTGGAGGAAGTCTCGAGCGGGAGCCTCCTCTGTGAGTGCATTGTTAGGAAGTCTCAGGCGGGAGCCCCCTCCCTGCTTGGTCGCCAGATCATGTTAGCAATCCGAGCGGGTCATCCAGATCTTGTAATTGACATTCCTTTTGGGTTCTTGAGGCGTGGATCTGGATGAAGTCTCGAGCGGGAGCCTCCTCTGTGAGTGCAGTGGGAGCCCCCTCCCTGCTGGGCCGCCAGATCATGTTAGCAATCCGAGCGGGTCATCCAGATCCTGTAGCCGTCAGTTTTCTGGGGTTCTTTGAAGCGTGGATCTACAGGACGTCTCGAGCGGGAGCCTCGCCTGTGAGTGGATCGTGAAGAAGTCTTCGGCGCGAGTCCCCTTCCCGATGGGGCCGCAGGATCATGCTCGCAAACCGAGCGGGTCATCCGAATCCTGCATCAGTCGTCCTTGATGTTGGGCTCGGGGCTTGTCCCGACGGCTTCGTCTGTCTGGACGCCCGAGATGGGCACAGAAAGATTGGGTACGATGCCCAACAGCAGTTCCTGTTCATTCTGGACAGGATTCGCTGTTCACGCCGCCGCGGCCTGTGTCCATTCGAGACAGACGGCCGCCTGCCCAACAGCGGCCGCTGTTGATTTGGGACACCGTTTGTTGTTGGGCATTGTACCCACTCTTTCGGTACCCGTTTCGGGTGTCCAACGTCTGCGCCCCATAGGCCCGCGGGAATTGCCTCGGTGACCTGGCCAGCGGGGCTGCGCCAGCGGCTTCGCGACCCAGCTGTCGGAGGACGCGCGCCCCAAGCGGCCGCGCCGGCGACGGCGCCGAGGAACATCTACGTGTGCGCCCGTGCAGGGGGGGCGGGGGAGGAGGTGCACGAGGACAAGAGGCAGGAGGAGGCGGTGGGGGAGGAGGAGGAGGAGGAGGAGGAGGAGGAGGAGGAGGAGGAGGAGGAGGGGAAGCAGGAGCAGGAAGAGGAGGAGGAGGAGGAGGAGGAGGAGGAGGAAGGGGCATGAAGCGGATGCTGATGATGATGTTGATGCTGATGTTGATGTTGATGCTGATGTTGATGATGATGCTGATGATGATGATGCTGATGATGTTGTTGGTGATGATGATGATGATATTAATGTTGATGCTGATGATGATGCTAATGATGATGATGATGATGATGATGCTGATGAAGATGATGGTGATGATAATGATGCTGATGGTGATGGTGCGAATGATGATGATGATGCTGATGATGAGGGGGAGGAGGATGAAGAGGGGGAGGAGGTGGAGGAGATGATCATGATGATGATGATGATGGTGATGATGATGCTGCTGATGAGGCTGATGTTGATGATGATGATGATGTTTATGTTGATGAGGATGAGACTGATGATGATGATGATGTTGATGATGATGACGCTAATGATAATGATGATGATGATAATGGTGATGATGATGCTGCTGCTGATGATGATGATGATGTTGTTAATGCTGATGATGATGAGGAGCAGGAGGAGGAGGAGGGGGATGAGGGGAGGAGGAGGAGGAGGAGGAGGAGGGGGAGGAGGAGGAAGAGGAGGAGGAGGAGGAGAAGAGGGGGAGGAGGATTAGGAGGAGGAGGAGGAGGAGGAGGAGGAGGAGGAGGAGGGGAGGAGATGAGGGAAAAGGAGGGAGGAGGAGGGAGGAGGAGGAGGAGGAGGAGGAGGGGGCGGCAGCACGGCCTCCGCCAAGGCAAGAAGGACCGGGCGGGGGGGAGGCATAAAGTGGGCCTCAACCATCGTGAGGACGACGACGACGACGAGGGTTACGTCAGAACCACTGTAGAAGTACGATTGCGAAGGCCTTACAGCCGGTGCCGCCGACTCCGAACACGACGAAGATGAAAACGAATGGGGGGGGTAGGCGGCGGAGAAGGAGGAGGAGTGGGGGGGGGGAATGGGAAGGGTGGAGGAGGCGGATGAGGGAGGAGGAGGGGGGGGGGGGGAAGGATGAGGAGGAGGAGGAGGAGGAGCAGATGAGGAGGCATAGGAGGAGCAGGAGGAGGGGGAGCAGGGGTGGAGGAGGAGGAGGAGGAGGAGGAGGAGGAGGAGGAAGAGAAGGAGGAGGAGGAGGAGGAGGAGGAGAAGGAGTAGGAGGCGTTGTGGCATTTTGAGGTCTTTTGGAAACTGCTTTTCATTGTTTCGGGGGCGCTCGAGGGAGAAACGTATCTTGGCGGCAACCATTTTGGAAGCCTTGGCCCTCGACGGAAATGGGAGGGGAGATGGCGGGGGCAAAACCTTTACGGAAATCAATGAATATGGCCTCTCTGGGCCTTCTTGAGATTCCTTTCGGGGCTCTTTTGACCCATCATGGGCCCCCTTCGGCTGTCCTTAGGCGTTCTTGGGCTGTCTTGTGGGGCTTGGGCCGTCTAGGGGCGTTCTTGCGGATCCGTCGTGGCGACCCCCCCCTTCTTCAAGCGCAACTGCACAGGGCCCTCCTTGCAAAAATCGCAAACGGGGAATGGTATTCTGACACGGGACACCCTCCGGGACCCCCCCCCCGGGACCCCCCCCGGGACCCCCCCCCCAGGCAGCGAAGGGATCAAAGGGAAGGGGCTTCCCTTCGACTCAACGACAGGGTTCTTAATTTCGCGTTGGCTGGGTTCCTTCATTTCGCTTTGGCTGGCGCGCTTGAGGACCAGGGCCCAGGGAAAGAGGGGGGAGCGGCGACGGACCCAGAAACGAAGACGACGAGCACGCACGAGGACAACCGCCACGACGAACAATCCATTCCACACGCCGACAGGGTCGGCGGAGTCCCATTAATTTCGCTCGGGCGTGAGTTCTCGATGTCGGCTTCCAGGGCCCGTGGTCGGCCCTGGGGATCATCGAAACCGGTCTTGGGGCGCAAAGCCACCCCCGCGGGGCAGGTTGCCAGGCATTGAAGTGATCCGGGCGAAGGATCCAACAATGTGCAACTGTGAATACCGAAAGGCACGTGGGACGAAGGATGGAGAGCTCCCTGGGCCACGAAACGTGTGAGTGATGTACCGCAATGGACATGCGCTGGGCGGGGGGCCGCGACAGTCGGTGGGCGGGGAGCCGCATGTGGACCCTGTCGCTGGGGCATTCGGTGGCGCTCCCTATGTGGCGGCGATTCGTGTCAGCGGTGTGCCAAAATGGACGTGCGGTGGGCGGGAGGCCGCGTTTGGAGCCTGCCAGTGGGGCTTTAGGTGGAGCTCCCCATGGGGCCATGCAGTGTGCACCGAAATGAACATGCGGTGGGCAAGGAGTCGCATGTGGACCCTTCCGTTGGGGCCGTCGCTGGCGCTCAGCATTGGGGCGGCGAGTCGTGTGAGGGGTGTACCACAACAGAAACACGCGGAGGACAGAGGCAGGGAAGGGAGGTGGGAGGAGGGGGAGGAGGACGGGAAGGAGACGCGGGGCGCTGTCTCCTCAACACGACGACCCAGCACCACAGGAAGGTTGGAAAGTACCCCATCGCCGGGTGTCTCGGTCTTCGCTTCGCGAAACCATGCAACGGACCGTTGTTTATCTATCTTTCGTTTCCGCGGGCCTGGGCCGGGCCCCCGTCGTGGGATGGAGCAAAGTGCCTCTGTGGGAAGAGTTCCAGACCTCTGGGCAGCCACGCTGTGAACAAAAACACGACGTCGGATGCCGATCCGTGTTCTCCGGTAGGTCCGCGATGATTTCTTGGGTTGCGTTTGCACCCCCGTCCCCTGAGCGCGGACGCCGTGGACGAGGGGGGCCCAGCCTTGAGACAGGAAGTCCACGGGGACCTCCAATGGGTTATGTTTGTCTTGTCTCTTGGCTCTCTGGAATCACAGAGCGGGTGCCTGAGCTTCGGCGAGATCGCGTCGATGTACGCAAAGAAGGTCTGGCGCCTGAGGCCTGGCAGTCCCACGTCCATCCTGACGGACAGTGAGGCGCCCGACTCCTCTCTTGCTCTGCTCCTATTCCTCCAGGCGTCGTCCTGCATGGGGCCATGGTAATTGGGGGGCCAAAAGATCACTGCATCGCTGACACGTCGGCGATGCGATGCGAGTTGGGACCTGGCTTCTCCGTCCCAACACCTTCGATGTACTGCCGACGCATCGGCGATGCGATGCGACCTCTGGGTCTCCACCATGCCGTGGCCCCACGTGGGAGGTTTCCATGATCCCCCTCCTCGTTTTCTGATCCTTGCCCCCGCCCTTAGCTGGACGCCGTTGAGCCCGAGAAGCTCGCGTACGAGATAGTGCAGGCCATGTCTCTCGACGGAGACAACAAGGTGACGTACGCAGAGTTCATGGCGTACTGCGCGGGCCGCCGCAAGAGCGAGGTGCTCTTGTACATGTACGACCTGACCAACGGCGTCGCCAAGCCGCTGTCTCCATGGATTGTCGGCGATGTCCTGGAAGGCGTTTGGCATACTGGTGTCGTCGTGTATGGGAAAGAGTATTATTATTCCAAGGATACAGTTTATGCCAACCCTGGAGAAACAAGCTTCGGCGTGCCCGACCGCATCGTCCATCTAGGCAGCACGCTGTGGAGACAGGACGAGCTGCATGAGCACGTGAGCCGCGAGCTGAAACCTGTCTTCCAGCGCGAGACGTACGACGTTGTACGAAACAACTGCAACCACTTCTCGGACCGTGTCTGCATGTTCCTCGTCCGCAAGCACGTGCCAGAGGAGGTGCTGCGACAGCCCGACAGGCTCTTGCAGTCGAATTCAGTCAGCATGCTGAGACCTGCTCTCAATTGGTACCTGCGGGATAGGATCGTCGAGCGTGACAGCTCCGAGCTGCCCCCGGGCAAGAAGCGGCTAGGTGCCGAGGACTCGGGCAATGCCAAGAGGGATCACCACTAGGGGAGTCGCCTCTCCACCGAAGAAACGCAATCTACTCGAGGACGTATGTACCCAAGGACACTCCAGAGCCTTCCAACATGACCCCACACGTCCTACAACCTCCTCGAGCTTTCATCATGCAGCCTCGATATCCGGGAGGGGCTGGTGACCCACCTAGTGGTGACCCCCTTGTAGGGTGTTGCCAGAAGTGCCCCTAGCCCACTGTGCCCACTGAATTTCCAAGGAGGCCCCCCACGGCCTCCAGAGCACCCCTCACGAGGCCCAGAGGGCCCCCAGGGGCTGCAAAATTGAGCGAAAAGCTGGGGGCACCATGGGCCAGGGGTATCTTCGAGGCAGCCTCAGAGAGGCGGGGGGGGGGTCTGGTTGAGGTGGGAAGGCGACGGCAGGAATGGAGGAGGAGGAGGAGGAATAGGAGGAGGAGGAGGAGCCTTGGTAACCCCCGGGCGCCTGGCATTGCCCGGCAGGACCACCTCTCCCCGGGCCAGTTCGTCCGCGTGCACCCCGCCGAGGGCGAGGCCTGCCCCGAGCTCGCGCAGGTGCCAGGCTGGGCGAACGCTGTTCGGCAGCGAGCCTCCTCCTCCTCCTCCTCCTCCTCCTCCTCCTCCTCCTCCTCCTCCTCCTGCTCCCTCCTCCTCCTCCTCCTCCTCCTCCTCCTCCTCTTCTTCTTCTTCTTCTTCTTCCTCCTCCTCCTCCTCCTCCTCCTCCTCCTATTCTTCTTCCTCCTCTTCTTCCTCCTCCTTCCCTTCCTCCTCCTCCTCCTCCTCCTCCTCGAGCCCCCCCTGGTCCTTCTGGAGGTCTCTGGAGGCTCTCGGAGGCAAGCGGAGGAGAACGAAAGCGCTCAGGTGGAAAGGAGGGGAGGTGAGAGGGAGAAGGCCCTCCTCGGAAGGCGGCGGGACTTCTCAGAAGCCCCCCGACCCTCTGGGGAGATGTCTGTGTCTTCGGGGGAGGCTCAGAAAACCTTTCAGAAGGCCAGGGGACTTCGGAGCCTTCCGAGAAGGCCCGCCTCCTCTCACTTCCCCCCCCGGGCTGGCCGCCGAGGTGTGGCCAGTGAACAGTGTTAGCGGTGTGGTCTGGACTCTGATTTTTCTGCGACAGCCCATTTCCCATGCATGCTCGCGTCGTGACCGATCACGACACGAGGACTTTGGCAGGTTTCAGCCTCCCTGGGGCCCCAGGGGACTGTCAGAAGACGACTCGCCACGAAAAACCGTCCCCAGGGAAAGGTCGGGCGATGAGAACTATGCACATGCACCGATCCTGGCAAGGCCGATCTTTGACCCAGGATCGGTGCATATGCCTTCCTGGCCAAGGTAGGAGGGCGTATGCACCGATCCTGGGCTCAGGATGGGCCTGGCCAGAATCGGCGTATGTGCATAGTTCTTTTTCCTCTAAAAGGGTCGGGACTTCCGGGACCCACTATGGAGCAAGCAAGGCAAGACATTGCACGTTTGGATGCTGGCTCCTGCGACGGTGCACCTCCGAGGCGGGCCCCCCCGAGAGCCGACGAGAACGTTAGAGAAGCCCCCCGAGCGCACTTTTCTTTGTTTACCAGCGCAAGGGGAGCCCTGTGGCAAGAGAGGGAGCAACGACGACGAGAGACGACACGACAGCGGCACGCGGGGGAGGGGGGGGGAGGGAGGGGGAGGGGAGGGGAGGGGGAGGGGGGGGGGGGAGGGAGGGGGAAAGCCCGCGGGGCGGCGCGCGCGCTCGGCGCAGCCCCGCGCAGCCCGCGAAGCCCCGCGAGCACACGACAGGGGGGCAGGCCGCGCGCTTCCCCGCCGCCATGTCGGCAAGGTGCCCCATGCCGCCCGCCGAGCTGACACTCGGGGTCGAAAACCGGTCCCCCGAACCTGCTTGGGGGGTGCGTTCGGACTGGGAATTGCTGTCTGTCGGCCTATCCCGCCGCCGCGCCTTTTCTGGTAGGTCAGAGGCCTCTGGTATCCTTGTGAGGGGCTAGTGGGAGGCCCCTCGGAAGCTTCGTTGCCTCGATGCGCCCGTTTGGAAACGCGACACGCCGTGCTCACAACGTCCGTGTCAACACGCTGCGTGCTGGCTCGGCCCGCGTTGGCCCGCGTTTGGGCGAACGTGTCGCGCCAAACGTACGTGCTCAGTCTACGTGCTGAGCTCCGTGTCAACACGCTACGTGTTGCGAGTTGCGTATCGGGGCAGCTGGGCCAGAGGCCTTTGGTATTTTTGTGAGAAGCTATTGGGAGGCCCCATCGGAAGCCTTCGACTCGTTTTGGCTGTGTACTGGGAGCCTCTCGGGGGCCTCCTGGGAGGCTTTTCGGGGGCCCTTTGTGGCCTCTGCTGGCGGCCGGGGGGGGGGCTACCTCGAGGCGGAGAGGTTGACGTGTCGACACCTCAGTTGCCTCGATGCGCCCGTTTTGGTACGCAACACTTACCGTGCTCAAAACGTTCGTGTCAATATTGGCCCACGCTTTGAAAACGTACCTCGTGATAGCTACGTCTTCAGTCTACGTGGTGAGCTCCGTATCAATACGCTACGTGTTGCGTGTTTCGAATCGGGACAGCTGCGGTTCTGGGGTGCGTTCTGTCGCGAGGAAGAGGGACACAAATACACAGATGGACGTGGATGCCCAGGAACATGTGGCAAAGGTGGGCAGTGGAGGGGGAGACGACAGTCCAGAGAGGACTAGAAAGATGCACGGAACCCTGGGAGTTGTGTCTACAGTGGGGGACCAAAAATCGATGGACGTCCTGGGGTCTCAGGGTTGGGTTTCTTGTGGAAGGTTTCTTGTGGACTGGCCTCCACTGTATATATTTGTGTGTCCCTGGCCCTGTTCAATCTGGCCAGAACTTCGAGGCGGATCCCGCCGAAGCGACGGGGAGCCCCCGCTTGGAGACCCCAAGAGGGCGAACAAAGGCCCCAGCTCGACTCGAGGAGGCTTCTGAGTTCGACCCAGGAGCGGCCGTTCCTTGGGGCTTCAGGCCCCCGGAGACCCAGACACAGACTGACCACGACACTGGCAAGTCGGGGAAACGGCACCATTCTCTGCAAAGTCAGAGTCCGTCGTCCGGTGCAGGTTTTTGTCGCTGCTCTGCAGGATCAGGGTCTCTGTCCGGGTCTATAGGGGGTCCTTTGCACGCTCTGAGGCCTCGTGTGCCCCGGCTCCTTCCAGAACTCTCGCAGTGCAGTCTTTGCTTCGTGCCGCCGTCTGGAGAGAAGGGCCTCGAGGGATGTTGGGTGCCCTGGCCCAGCGTGCCCGGGTCCACGGAGCTCTGAGGGCCGAGGCCCCACGTCGCGAGCAAGCATTCAGGAGGAGGAGGAGGAGGAGGAGGAGGAGGAGGACGAGGAGGAGGAGGAGGAGGAGGAGGAGGAGGAGGAGGAGGAGGAGGAGGAGGACGACGAGGAGGAGGAGGAGGAGGAGGAGGAGGTCAAGGTCGGAGCTCTACGTGCCCAGAGAGCCCCGTCGTCGTGACTCGCTCTCCACGGCGTCGACCCCCAGAGGTCTGGACGCCTTCCCCGAGACGGGTTGTTCGTCCCGAGTCGTTCTTCGACGGAGACCATCATGCGAACCCTACCCCTACCCCTACCCCCACCCTCCCCCTCAGAAATCGTGGGGGGTAGGGGTAGGGTTCGCATGAAGCCCCCTAGTCGTGGCGTGCTCACGGCGTCGACCCCCAGAGGTCTGGACGCCTTCCCCGAGACGGGTTGTTCGTCCCGAGTCGTTCTTCGACGGAGACCATCATGCGAACCCTACCCCTACCCCTACCCCCACCCTCCCCCTCAGAAATCGTGGGGGGTAGGGGTAGGGTTCGCATGAAGCCCCCTAGTCGTGGCGTGCTCACGGCGTCGACCCCCAGAGGTCTGGACGCCTTCCCCGAGACGGGTTGTTCGTCCCGAGTCGTTCTTCGACGGCCCCGAGGCCCGGGAAGGTCCCCCGGAGGCCGAAGATCATGAAGAACCTGCCGCCGTGATTTTTTTGTTCCGCGCGAGAGGAGGTCTGGGTAGAGACCATCTCATCTCTTCGCCGCGTTTTGTGTTCTGGCCGGGCCGATCTATGGGGCCTGGTGTGCAAGAGTTGCACACGCCCAGCGTAACATAGTGTCAACGGCCAGTTTACGACGCGGGGGCGCCAGGCTTCGGGCCATGACTCGGGTAAAGTCGGGCATGTCCCTCCACAGGAGGAATAGCCAAAAGTAGTAAAACAAATAATCTGGAGACGATCCTCTTGTTTTTGTTGATCATGTGTGCATGTCTCGTGACCGAAATCCACTATCCTTGAATGTTTCGAATGTTTGGATGGTTTGTGAAGGTGTTCGACTGTGTTTGGCTACTCTTGATCCTGTGCTTCCAAGACCCGCCAGTAGGATAGGGGGCCACATGCGAACCCTATCCCTACCCCCCACGATTCCTGAGGGGGAGGGTGGGGTTCAGTCCGCTCGGGAGCTCCCGAGCGAAGTGAACCCCACCCTCCCCCTCAGAAATCGTGGGGGGCAGGGGCAGGGTTCGCATGTCCCCCCCTACTCACGTGCCTTGCGGTATTCACAGCTGCACATTGTTGGATGTCCCGCCCGGACAAGCTCAATGCCCGGCTCCAAACGTCTCGCAACCTTCCCGGCGGGGGTGCCTCTGCGCCCCAAGACCGTGTTCGATGCTCCCCAAGCCGGGCGCCTGACGCTCGATGTCTGTCACGCCGCGCCGTGGTATTTGTCACATTTTCACACGTTACGATATTTTCCACGATTCGCCGGTAATGTCGGCCCGCCGCCTTGCCGGGGCAGGCGGAACTTCCCGCCTCCCCCACGGGCCGCTCTGCTGCTCTGCCAGGGCCGACCACGGACCCTAGGAGCCGAAATCGAAAACTCACGCCCGAGCGAAACTCGCACGCGGTCCCCTCTAGGAGGACCTGCCCGACCTCAAACCCCCCACGGGCCTCGGGCGGCCGCCCCGGGGGAGACGCCGCCCGAGCACCCCCCGGGGAGCGCGCTCTGCCTCGACGAGGCGCAGCTGCACGAGGAGGCGCCCCGAGGCGAGGGGCCTACGTTCGGGGACCCCTTGCGAGCGGCGCCGCCCCGGCATGCTGCTACTGTGGTGATGGAGTCGCGTCGCTCATTCCGTCGGCCCTGGAGCCCTCTTTCGGGCCTCTTGTCTCGGGAGTTCCCAAGCGGGGTGGTGATCACACCGTGCGGTGAGTCGGTGGGGATTCGGGGTCACCGCACGGTTCTGGGACTCGGGTCGTTCTCCGAGGACGTCTCGGGCGACAGGGGCCTCCAGGGTCCCAAGACCGTGCGGTGACGGACCGTGCGGTGAGGTCTTGGGGGATTTCGATGTCACCGCACGGTCGATCACCGCACCGTTTCGGGACTCCAAATTGTCTGCACGAACGAGATGGGCACGGAAAGAATGGGTACACCAACAGCGGATCTGGTTCATTTTGAACAGGACTCGCTGTCCGCGCCGCCGCGGTCTGTGTCCATTCGAGACAGAAGGCCGCCTGCCCAACAGCGGCCGCTGTTGGTTTGGGACAACAGTTGTTGTTGGGCATTGTATGTACCCATTCTTTCCGTACCCATTTCGGGCGTCCAAAATTCCGCCGGCCCTGGAGCCCTCTTTAGGTCCTCTTGGGGGCCTCTTGGGGACCTCTCGGGAGTCTCTTGGGGCTCCTCGGCGGCGTCTTGGGGGCCCCCGGGGCCTCCTGGGGGGTTTGGGGGGGCCTCTTGGGGCGGGCCCCAATATACTAGTACTGTAATTACTTTGTGTGCGTCGCCCCTCCCCCGACGGCGACGCGCGCACCGAGAACTCTTCTAGTATACGCTCCATGGCGGGCGCATTCTGGCCAAACCGCTCGGGGGACTATGTGTTACAGCGCTGCTGAACTATAGGTGCGGGTCGAACACGCGCCTCCAAGCAGTACATGTAGCACTGGCATGTCTGTGTGCACCCCACGACGAGCACGCCAGCAATCCCGCGGCGACTGCGCAGCGGCAGTCTGCGCCTTCTGCCCGCCCTCTGGCAGGGCAAGGCAGGGTTCGAGCTACACGGTGTATTTTGGCGAGCTCATGGGCCCTTCTCGTTTTTTGATCCCACCCCGCAGCAGAGGCAGAACGAAGACATAACGATCACGAAACGAAGAACGAAAACGAAGAACGAAAACGAAGACGAAACGACGAAGGAGAACGAAACGAGAACGAAGCACACGGTTTAGCTCGAGCCCTGTGGCAAGGTGTGCCTCCCGCCCGCCAAGCCGCACTGGGAGGCGGCCACCCCGGCCGCCCCCGCGCCCGCCGGGCTTTCGCTGGCCGCCTGCGGCGCGGGCTCGCTGCTGTGGGGCACCTGCGGCCTGGGCCAGGGCTCGGCAGACGCCGCCGACGGCGATCCGCTCGCGGCTTAGTCGCCCGCGATGGGCAAGTTTTGCACCACGACTACCATAATTATGCAGGACGGGGGAGAAGGGAGGATCAGGAGGTCCTCCTCCTCCTCCTCCTCCTCCTCCTCCTCCTCCTCCTCCCCCTCCTCCCTTTCCGACCCATGGAAGTGGTGGTGGAAAATGGGCCCATCAGCCCGGATGCGCCCGCGCTGGAACTCGGAGGAGGGCCCAGGAGGAGAAAGAGGTACGTACCGATACCGCTGCTGAGGTGGACGTTTGGAGCTAGAAGTCCTCAGGACGGTTGCCGTGTGCTGCAAGCGTATTCGATCAGCTAACGAATGTTGCTAAAGTCTTTACGTTGGTTTACGCTTTGGCCTTATCAGGACTAAGTCGCCAAATTGTTAGCTGGGCTTAACTCAGTTTATGCAGGTTTCAGGGTGATTATGCTAAGTCACGTTGAAGTTGTGATGGTGATCATGCTGCCGATGATGAACGTGATGGTGATGATTGTTATGATGAGGGCGATGGTCATCATGATGACGATGCTGATGATGCTACTGATGATAAGGGTGGCAACGATGATGCTGATGGTGATGATGGTGATGCTGCCGATGATGATGCTGGTGATGATGGTGATGATGATGATGATGGTGATGATGATGGTGATTTGCATGATGAAGATTATGAAGATGATGACGATGCTGCTGGTAATAATGGTGTTGCTTTTGATGCTGATGATGCTGACGATGACGACGATGACGAGGGTTGATTGTTGATGGTTTATGGAGTTTAATGTGATGGTGGTGACGATAATGGTGATGATTGTGATGTTGATGGTGATGATGATGATGATGGTGATGATGATGATGCTGATGATGTTGGTGATGGTGATGGTGATGGCGATGGTGATGGTGATGATGGTGATGATGATGATGATGATGATGATGATGCTGATGATGATGATGATGATGGTGATGGTGGTGGTGGTGGGGAGGAGGGGGAGGAGGAGGATGAGGAGGAGGGGGAGGAGGAGGAGGAGGAGGAGGAGGAGGAGGGAGGGACAAGGGGAAAGAGGAGGCAGGACGAGGAGGAGGATGAGGAGGACGAGGAGCAGGATGAGGATGTGAAGGATGAGAGGAGAGAAGGAGTAGCAGGATGAAGAGGAGTACGAGGATAAAGAGGAAGTTTGTCGAAATACGCGTACACTTCGCGAGGTTGGTTGAAGCTGTTGCTGGAGCTGCTATCCATCGTTTTCAGCAGCTGCAGCTGCTGCGCACTTCCATTTTTTGAGTCGCAGACCGATGCGGCCAGCAAGCGGCAGGCCGCACGATCGCCTCCAACCGCATATATTGCGAGCCCTGGCTCTGCGCCTCCCAGGCGACGGAGCTCTTCCCCACACAGCGCTGGACCCACTTGGAGATTAGAGCTCAGAGGGCGGGCCCCTCAGAAGACGAAGTCGATACCCCTACAAGCTGGTGGACCATGCCTGCGGACCACGAGGCGCCGCAAACATGTATCGCCACGCTTTCAACGGAAAGGTGTGCTCGTTCAGTCGCGCGCGCCTGCTAAGCGGGAAGTTCAAGTTCCCCGACAGAGCGTGTGCTGAGCCGAACGTGTCGCGCAAGGCCCCCAACATCCGCCTGCCGGGCGCCTTCGTCGGCGCCGCGAGCGACGTGTCTGTTTCAAGTTCGTCGTCGGGTATCGCGGACAGACGTTCGAAGGTGAGGTCCAGTTCGACGGGCTTGCCACAACTGCGCGCATTCCTGGGGGCGGCGGTGTTGAACAGGTGATTGCCGCACTTCTTGATGACCTTGTGCTTTCCGCCTAGCGACCAGGCCGTGGGCAGTGGCCCGGACTCGTCGATGAGCCGCGGCAGATGCACGAGATCCGCGAGCACCCGCGCGGGGCGCTGAGCGGCCGTATCCACGACGTTTTGCAGCTGAGCTCAGCGGCTGCGGCCGCCCAGGGGGAATGAGGGCCGTGGCCAGGTCTGCAAAAGCGAGAGGCGAGCAGGAACGATGGTGAACAGGGGCGACGAGCGCCATCATCGTGGTCATCGTCACCATCGTTCACTTGCCCGTTGCTGCGGGTCGCGATCATTCTCGCTTCTGGTCCTCCATGGCCCCTTCTGGCCGCAGCCTTCTCGACTGCCGCTGCCGCCCTTCCCGTGACTGCGGCGGCGAGCTCGCGAGGGCACGCGCCAGTGTGAAACAGTGGTTATCGTTCCCTGCCCCCGCCCGCATACGAAGTGGGCGAAGTGGGGGGGGCGGGGGCTGCAAGGTGGGCCAGGAGGGAGTGAAGGTTGGGTGAGGGCCTCTCGTGACCTGATTTCGTCTGCGTCGGCTCCTCACCGCACAAGTGCGTGAACTCCGCTGAGGAGGCGTTGTGCCGGCGTCGTCTCGGCGGGCGCAGCGCCGCGACTGCACGAGGCTTCGCAGCACCGCGCAACGCGGCGCTTGCCGAGTCAACGACGCGTCATTGATCGCGGCAGCAGCCTCCTGCGCGAAGTAGAGCGCGAAGGGCACCGCGCTCTGGCTTCCGCTGGCAGACGTCTTGAAGGTGGCGCCCTCCCAGTAAGGGGCAGCAAACTTGCTGCTGAGGACGTCTTTCGGGCCCCGTGCCGATGAGCTTCGGCCGCTGCAAGCTCCCCACTTTCACGCGCATGGCCACGGAGCTGAAGCCGCGCGCTTTGAATCCAGCGTCCTTGCTCATGACGAACACCATGAGCTGGGCGACGGTTGCGCCGAAGAAGCCGTTAACGGAAATCACGCGCATCCAATCGAAGATGCGCGCGAGGGCTGGATGGACACGCGGCAGCAATCACCCGCCAGGAGCGCGCTTGGGTCGCGGTTCCAGCCCAGGCGCGTCTCCAGCTCCGCCAATATGGTTTTTGGTTTCGGCCAGGCCGGCCGCGTGGTGCGCCAGCGCCAGCAGCGCCGCGGCCGCCGTTGCGCGCGCGCGTAGCTTCAGCAGGCTGCTGTCGCGCGGGACACCGACGCGCCGCAGGCGTCGCGAGACACCGCGTCGAGCTGGCCACCGTCGCGCGCATGCGCGTTTGCGCAAAGACGACACGGCTTCAACCCCGATGACCCCTTGCGCGCGCATGCCGCGTGCAGCGCGCCTTCGTCGGCGACGATGGCGCCGACCTTCGGATCGACGTGCGCGTAGCGGCCTTGTCTCCCCACCGCGGAGCCTGCCGTTTCCATGTTGGCCAGCGGTGGGCCCAACGACGAGGCGCGCGAGGGGCTCGACCAAGCGCGAGACCTCGCCGGCTATCTCCCCATCACCCGGCGCGTTCTTTTCTCGCATAGAGAGGTCTGAACTCTCTGGCACTCGAGCTAGGTCCACGAAGCGAAGATACGAACGTGTGCTCGGGCAGCGCCGCGCAGCGAGCGTCGACCTCACCGCTGCGACCTCGAGCCGGGCGCGCCGGGGGGGGGGGGGGCGGTCACTTCGACGGCGGGGGCGGCCGGCTTCGGCCAGCTGGGCAGGGGGGGCTGCCGCTCCGTCGGCGCAGCGGCGGCCGCTGCCCCTCTACGGCGAGGGCGCGCGGCCCCAGCTCGAGCAGCGGCAGGCAGAGCCCCGAATCATCAGGGGTAACTCGGGTCAGGGCTAACTCGGGTTCAATTTTCGGGAATCCAAACCCGAGTTGCCCCGGGCCCGAGTTACCCCGGATAACTCGGGCGTCCAACGACAGGCAGAGCCCTGGGCATCTGCGATTCGCTGCGTGGGCCAGTGCGCTCCCTGGAAGAGTCTCGACGCCGTGCGCGGTGATGGTCCAGGGCTGCAGCCCGGTCCGTGGTCGCCCCGGAGAGGCGCTCCTGGCGCGCCTGGCAAAGCTTGGGCTCTGGACCTCGATGTCTACGTGGATGCCGTCGTGGTCGCAGGCCGTCGTGGCAGTGAAGAGCGGCCCGTGCTCCGTCGCCGCACATGCCGCAGCGTCCACCGAATGGCGGATCCATGTCCTGTCGGCTCCAGGGAGAGCTTCCCTGGCCGACGGGCCCAGGATGCCGCCAAAAGCGCAGTCTGCGATGCGAGCGGGAGGTTGTACCGCAGCGTGCTGACGCGCAGCTGCAGAAAAAAATACCCCAAACATATTCAAAAATAACCCCAAAACAGTCTGGGAGCTACCTGTTGAGTATTGTTTGACCCTTCTGGGGCATCTTTGGGGTATTCTTCTTATTTTTCGTCGAAGCTCCCCCTTAGCTGCTGATGCTCGGTGTGGCCGCGTCGTGCGTGCGCTCCGCCGCCGTCGCCGTGCTGCCACCGCGCCGCCGTGGCGGCGCGCGCGGCCCCCGCGCACCCTCTGAGCCACGGCCATATTTGCATTTTTTTTAAGTTAAGTGACTCGGGCACCCGCTCGCCTGCGTGTAATGGAGCTTTGAATTACTTGCGACTCGGATCGGCCGCCGGGCGAGCGCTGCCGCGCGCTCGCGCGTAGCGGCGGCCGCAGCCGCGCTCGAGCGCAGCGGGGGCCGCGGCCCCGCCGTCGTGCATCGCCATCGCTGCTCCTCCTCCTCCTCCTCCTCCTCCTCCTCCTCCTCCTCCTCCTCCCCTCCTCCTGTTTTCTCCCTCCTGTTCCTCCTCCTCCTCCTCCTCCTCCTCCTCCTGTCCTCCTCCTCCTCCTCCTCCTCCTCCTCCTCCGCGTCCTCCTCCTCCTCCTCCTCCTCCACCTCCCCTCCAGCTCCTCCAGCTCCTCTCCTCCTCCTCCTCGCTCCTCCTCCTCCTCCGCCTCCTCCTCCTCCGCCCCCGCCTCCGCCTCCGCCTCCTCTCTTCCTCCTCCTCCTCCTCCTCCTCCTCCTCATCATCATCATCATCATCCCTCATCTCATCCTCCTCCTCCTCCTCCTCCTCCTCCTCCTCCTCCTCCTCCTCATCATCATCATCAGCATCATCATCATCATCGGCGCCGCCCGCGTCGCCGCCACCGTCGTTCGGCCCGTTGCCGGCGCCCGCGCCTGATGAACTACAGTCTCCGCCTGCGGCGGGCCTTCGCGGCGGCTGGGGCAAGCCGCCGTTCGCCTGCACCACTTGGATCCCCAACGGGCAGTCGGAAAGCAACGGGCATCGTGGTGCGGGTGGATTCGGTCGCTATGCCGCTGCAGCGGCGCCTCGCAAATGCACGAGCAGCTGCAGCTGCTCTTGGAAGTCAGACCGATTCTCCAGGATCGGTTCGCTATAGTGGCTGTAGTAGTCGCCATCGACATCCGCGAGCCTGAGGATCCACTTGCCGCCAAGCCACCCGGACAACGACGACGCGCGACAGCCTCGCTTGGCCCACTTGGCCCTGGCCATGTCTTTGTTGACCACGTGATTCAGCATGAACCAACGCGCGGTCTTTCGGCGGCGAGCCGGAGAAAGGCCAGGCCTTTTTCAGAAGGCTCGGGAGCCTCCCTGGCCTTCTGAGAAGTGTCCCCAGCGCTCCCCGAAGACGCAGAGAACACCCCAGAAGGCGCAAGGGCTTCTGAGAGAAACCCCGCCGCCCTTTGAGAGGGCTCTTTCCTGCTCGTTTCCCCCCCTCTCCCGCTGCCGAGAATAACGACGCGGCGACCCCCTCAACACCTGTCCGGCCCGTGGCGTTGCAGCGCGGGCTGGAGCCACGTTGCGGCGTGCGCGTTCACAGCCTCGCGCTGCTCGGGCCACCGCGGAGCACCGCCAGTGTCGGACGGGGCTGGGACAAGGATGCATCTGCTCCAGAGCGTTGCAGACAGCTCTCAGGGCGTCCTAGAGCGCTCTGGGAAGGCCGCGGCGCCCGAAACACGCTCCAGGGCCGCCAGATCTCTGAAATACCCGATGTGTCCTCGTCCGAGTTTGTCCTCGTCCTGGCTTCGTTTACACTGGGCGCCCGAGGCGGTGACGTTTCCCGCCCACTCGCCCAGGGGAGGGGGGCCGCCGATAAAGCAATGCAAGAGCGGGCGCGGGCGAGGACAGGACCTTGGGTTCCTCGCGAAGCAACGCGGGAGTGACGCCAGCAGATTCTGCTCCGGGGGGCGGAGGAGGAGGAGGAGGAGGAGGAGGAGGAGGAGGAGGAGGAGGAGGAGGAGGAGGAGGAGGAGGCGGAGGAGGAGGAGGAGGAGGAGGAGGAGGAGGAGGAGGAGGAGGAGGAGGAGGAGAGGAGGCAGGGGGAAGGAGGAGGTAGGAGGAGGAGGAGGAGGATGCGGAGGGGGAGGAGGAGGGGACGAGGGGAGGAGGAGGAGGTGAGGAGGAGGAGGAGGAGGAGGCGGGGGAGGAGGAGGAGGAGGAGGGGAGGAGGTGAGGAGGAGGAGGAGGAGGAGGGCGGAGGAGGGGAAAGGAGGAGGAGGAGAGGAGTGGAGACGAGGAGGAGGAGGAGGAGGAGGAAGTGGAGGAGGAGGAGGCGGGCGAGAAGGATGAAGAGGAGGAGGAGGAGGAGGAGAGGAGGAGGAGGAGGAGAGGAGAGGAGGGGGGGAGGAGGCGGAGGAGCGGAGGGGTGAGGAGGAGGAGGAGGAGGGGGAGGAGGATGGAGGGAGGAGGAGGAGGAGGAGGAGGAGGAGGGGAGGAGGAAGGAGGAGGAGGAGGAGGATGAGCGGAGGGGGAGACGGGAGGAGGAGGGAGGAGGGAGGGAGGAGGATGGAGAAGAGAAGGAGGAGGAGGAGGAGGAACGGGAGGAGAGAAAGGAGGAGGAGGAGGAAAGGAGGAGGAGGGAAAGGCGGAGGAGGAGGAGGAGGAGGGGAGGAGAGGAGGAGGAGGAGGAGGAGGAGGAGGAGAGGAAAGGAGGAGGAGGAGGAGGAGGGGGAGGAGGAGGAGGTCCCGCTCAGGGCTTCGAGGCTCGGGGGGGGAGGGGCAGTTGCACAGCTGCTTCCGCGGCACTGCCACGGCCTTCTCGTAGGGCAGTGCCCTGCCCTGCACGGAGGCGTGGCGCTGCTGCCAGACCAGAAACCAAGGAGGGAGGGCAGGAGGGCAGGACGCACCGAAGGAGGCTGGAGGAGAGCAGGGGGGGCAGGAGAGGACGCGCAGGAGGGGGGAGCCCTGACTTCCCCGCGAACGCGAGGCTCGTCTGGGTCAAGTTCTTCGACGCCAACTGGGAGGGCACCCCGCCGAGCCGCCGCGCGAGGGTTCGCACGGAGCAGGTGCCGCGATCGCGGCTGTCCCTGGCGCCCCTCGGGCCAGGCGGCGAGCTCATCTTCTCGAGGCCACGGTGGAGAAAGGGGACGGGCAGTGCCAATGGTCAGAGGAGGAAAAGGTGCCCATGCCGCTATCCTTCGCCCGTTCTCCCCTTTTTCGGCCCCCTGGGAGGCGCTGATCGCCACCGCTGGATTCCATCGAAGGCCCCAGAGGCAGGTTTCGCATGAAGTCACACCTTCATGTCGGCGCACCCCTCACACAGTTCAAGGCCCCATGGGGAGCTCCACCAAGGGCCCCATTGGCAGGGCTCGCATGCGGTTCCACCCTCATGCCGGCGCACCCCTCACACGGTTCGTGGCCCCAAAGGGAGCTCCACCGAAGGCCCCAGTGTCAGGGTTCACATGCATTTCCACCCTCATTTCGGCGCAACTGCTCTGATACACGCCTGGCCCCCCCCCCTCCTTTGTTTCATCTCCCTCGCGGTACTCGCAGCCGCTTACGCTACACCGCGTGCGTTACTCGGAGTTTGCGCGCCCCCTCCTTCGTCTCATCTCCCTCGCGGTACTCGCAGCTGCATATGGTTGGGTCCTTCGCCAGGCTAATTTCACGACGCGAGGGGGTCAGGGAGCAAGTGCCGGGATTGAAAAAAGCCCAGGGCGCTAAATTCCAGAGGCCAACACCGACCCCTGAGATCCGACGTCGCGAGAAAATTGAAGCATCGTGAAATTGACCACCGCCGCTAGGTCCTTCGGTGGAGCCCCCCATGGGGCCACGAAGCGTTGCACTGGGCGCAGCAACCGCACGCGAGTTCCGCCACTGGGACCTTCGGTGGAGCTCCCTATGTGGGGCCATTCGGCGCCATAGCGTGCGCTGGAACCGCATGCGAGTTCCGCCACTGGGACCTTCGGCGGAGCTCCCTATGGGGCCACGAAGCGCTGTTCTGGGCGCAGGAATCGCGTGCGAGCTACGCCACTGGGACCTCAGGTAGAGTTCCCTACGGGGCCCCAAAGCGTCGCACTGGGCGCTGGAAGCGCACGCGAGTTCCGCTACTGGGACCTTCTGTGGAGCTCCCCATGATGCCACGATACACCGCACTGGGCGCAGGAAGCGCACGCGAGTTCCGCCACTAGGACCTTCGGTGGAGCTCTCTACTGAGCCACGAAGCGCTGTTCTGGGCGCAGGAACCGCATGCGAGTTCCGCCACTGGGACCTTCGGTGGAGCTCCCTATGGGGCCACGAAGCGCTGTCCTGGGTGGGGAAACGCAGGGAGGAGGGAGGAGGAAGGAACGCGGGGCGCTGTCTCTTCCAACCGAGGGCCCAACACCACAGAATGGTTGGGAATTGCAGAAGCTCTCTTGTCCTGGGATGTTTGCCCGCGAGCAGACGGTCCAGGGACGCCCCCGGCCCTTCGTCGAGCCGGGCCCGACAGCGACCCAGCAAGAGAGGCCCCACACGCTGCGAGCTGAAAGCCCCGCAATGAAAGCAGAACACGAACGGCCCCGCGGACCCCATACGATACCCCAAGAAGGCGAACCCATCCCCCGAACTCGACGCAGAGGCTGTTCCTTCAACAACCTCGGCCCCAGGGTCCACGGGCCCCGAACTAGCACCACCCGAGACAGCCACAGCCGCCATCGCCAAACGGACGGCCTCTGGTCTCGCAATCGGGCGGACCTTTGCAAATCTAGCCCTCTGGGGCGACATCTACCTTGGCTCTGCTGGCCTGGAAGCCTGTGGGGCCACACTTGCGGCCACCCCCAGACGTTGCCCAGCTCAGAGTTGCGTCGGTTCTCGCCTGACGCAGACATCGCCGACACACCTGGTCCTGCAATGGGGCAGGTGGATTTTTCGGCCGGATAGCACGTGGCACCGCGGGGGTTCGACTGAAAAGGGGGAGGGGGAGGAGGAGGAGGAGGAGGAGAAGGAGGAGGAGGAGGAGGAGGAGGAAGAGGAAGAGGACTGGCCCCCTGACTCCAGGGCCCCAAACTCGTGCTCCTGAAACCCAGCAGCACACTCGCCAGGGGTCGCTCGGCATCCGGGCCCGAGACGCGTCCTCCACGGTGTCGCACAGAGTCCCTGACTAACGAAGTCACCACATCAGCAGACGAGGCCAGCTGAGCCGTCGCCCACGCGAGCAATGGCATCCTGTTTGTGACGAGCAAGCTGGACCGACGGATCTTCGGCGACAGCCTCGGCCACATAATGCATGCGAGCCCCGACCTCGGCAAAGAAGTCGGCCCACGGGTTGCCTATCCACCACTCAGGTGGCTTGTCAGAATACTGCATCACGAATTCCTGGAAACGCAGATGGGCAGGCACCCACTCGAGATCAGGCTGGCCCTCAGGCCCCACCTGCAGCATACTGTAATTCTCCGCCAGATCGAAGCGTGGGTCCGACGGACCTCAGGCTAACCAGGAAGGTTGCTCTCCTGGACCGCGACGATCCAGTCAGACACAAACAGGCGCACTCTACACGAGGACCCAACGCCACAGGATGGTTGGGAAAAGCAGGGGGGCTGATCGCCATGAGCCCCCCTCCCAGACGCGCTGCGGCCGCCTCCTCCACAACTCTGGACCCCTCCTGGGGACCAGCTTCTCGTCCTGAGCCGTGTTTGCCGGCCCTGTGGCACGAGGGGAAGTTGGAGACCCAAGCCGACAAACAAACAAAGGTCGTCTTGATTCTAAAGGCGGGGCAGCGGCCCCTCAGGTGCTGGGCACCGACGAACAGCCGCCGGGATTGGCAGCAGCCCAGCCCACATCGCCATTCAGGAGGGCGGATCGGCCAGCGGGGCCCGGGGCCACGCGGGTGGGGATGGGGTTCGGCTACATCGGTATCGCCCAAGCGTGCTCATATTATTCAGGTAGGGAAAAAACACACAGACACAATTAATCGTCGACCCCCAAGAAAATATGGAAAATATGGGAATTGGGCGGGAGGACAAAGCCCTCCGAAAATATGAGAAAATATGGGGCATCATTTTATATGTGTGTATTTATTTGTGTGTCCTTGTGCCCCTTGAATTATGTGTGCGTCACCCCCGAAGGGGCGGCGCGCGCGCGCGCTCAGGAATCTCATGGCACACGCTCGGTGGCGGGCGCTCCCGCGTGGAAAGCCATGAGCCTGTCCCCGGACGCGCTGCGGCCGCCCCTGTTCAGACCCAGACCTCCGACGTCTGGACTTGTTCAATTACAGTGGAAGCCCATGCCAAGAGACGCCCTGCTTGTCTCCGGGCTACCCTGGGTTTCTCGGGTTTCGACGGCTTTGCCATGGAGAGCGTGAGGTTCCCACGCAAAAGTCAATGAATTTCCTGGGGTCTCAGGGTTCGGTCTCTTGTGGAGGGTTTCTTGTGTTCGAGCTCCTACTGCACAGGGGTCCCTGACCCTTTCCCCAGGGCCAGTCTCTCTTCCCCTTCCCCAGGGCCCCAGGACAATGAAGAACATATTGTTGGGGGGTCCGGGGCCCAACCAGGGCCAAAAGCCTTCCGTCGCAGGTCCGTGCTTGCATGGGCGTCAAACGCCGATCCCCGAGCCTGTCTCGGTGTGCGCTCTGCCTGGGAGTTTGTCGAGGTGGATGCGCAGCCGTGGCGGCGAGGCGCCCCCCTGGAGGCCCCCCAAAAGGGGAAGAAAGTCCATGCTCGAACCTCGATCTCGAACCTCTCGTCTCGAACCTCTCCATCCCGAACCTCTCGATCTCGAACCTCTCGATCCTAGTTCCCAGGCGCGGGGACGCCACATGCGGGCACGCCCTGCGAGCGAGCGAGACAGTCCAAGCTCGAGCATCGATCTCTAACCTCTCGCCCCAGGCATGCGACGTCCTGATTTTTCAGGACGGCGTCCCCGGAAGTGCAGACCCTTTCCCCGGGGCCAGTTTTTCATCCTGAGGCGTCTCTGTTACGGTCTCGAGGCCCGGCGAGGGCCCCCCGATGCCCAAATCGGCAAAAAACCTCCCGTCCTGATTTGTTTTACGACGAGATCATGTCTGGGGCTCCTCGATGTGTTCGCGGCGCGACAGGGCGCTGAACGCCATGAGCCTCCCCCCGAACGCGCTGCGGCCGCCCTTCTCCACCAACGACAGCCCGCTGTCCTGGCCCTCGGGGGCCAGTCGCGGCACGCTGCCGTGCCGCGTGCCCGCACCCCTCTGCACCTCCGAGGAGCCAGGGGCAACGCTTGATAAGCAATGAGAGTACCCCTATAACCCTTCGGGAGGGGGCCTAACCCAGACCCCCTCGCGTTGTGAAAAAATCACGACGGGCGTTTTCCCCCCAATTTCGGCTTCCTGGGGCCCTTCCCCGGACCTCGGGACCGTCAAACAATGAAATTCAGGTGAAAAACCGGTCCCGGAGAAGGGTGCAGACCTGTGGGGTTCGATGGTGTGAAAAATGCACGACGCCTGGGGCCTGGGGTACCCCTAACCATTTGGCATAAGACTTACGTTAGGAGGGCCAAGAACATTAGGGATAGGGGGTCTTTTCTGCAGATTCATCAGACCAAACCACCCACGTGAGGCCGCGTCTTCATCGTGCTTTTGGGGTTAGGGATTCTTTTGTTCTCGATGAACGTTTTGCCCAGACCCCCTGGCGTCGTGGACAAAACATGACAGCACGTTTCTCCTAGTTTTCGGCCTTCTGGGGCCCTTGCCGGGCCTCGGGACCGTCAGCAAAACCGACTGAGGTTGAGAAGCTGGTCCCCGGGGAATGGGTAGATACTTCTGGGGGTCGACGTGATCTGACAATCGCGACGTCGCGGGTTTGGTGGGAGGGGGATCGGCTCACGATGCATCGACCCCCAACCGCAGACCCCCCCCGCGTTGTGAAAGCATCACGGCGGCCGTTTTTTGTATATCCTCGATCTCTAGGGGTCCTCGCCAGGCCTGGGGGACTGTCAGCAGCCTTTACTCGGATGAGAAGCCGATGCCCAGGAGGGGTTTCAGATCTATGGGGGTCCACGTCATCGGAGCAGCCTGGCGAGAACACCCAACCCTATCCAACGAAGCGGAACGAAACTTGAGTCGGCCATGAACTTCTACAGGAGGAAAGTTTTAAACTAGTAAAAATAACAAATAGGCTG